AGGGGAAATGCTTTCAATTTTTCACCATTGAGGGTGATGCTTGCTGTGGGTTTGTCATATATAGCTTTTATTATGTTGAGGTATGTTCCTTCTATTCCTGCTTTCTGGAGAGTTTTAATCATAAATGGATGTTGAATTTTGTCAAAGGCTTTTTCTGCATCTATTGAGATAATCATATGGTTTTTATCTTTCAATTTGTTAATTTCTTTTAAAAAGAAACGGAATATGAGATGAAGAGGACCATAGATGAGCCAGGGTGTGTGTTCTTAATGGGTGGAGTTAAGAGAGAGGGGAAAATAAAAGTTTACCTGTATCTTGTCAGAGCCAGACCATAGTTAAGAGGGCTTTCTCAGAGGAGTGGTCCACATGGAGGGTGCTGGTCCCATTCTCGATCAAGTTAAGGAGGTATCCACTTGTGAGAAGTCAGAGCCCAGGTGGCCTGGGAACAGAGTAGATAGTAAAGCCAGAACCAGGTAATTAAGCAGGGTGTACATTTGGAAAGAAGAATCAATTCTTAGCATTCAGCATATATAGAGGGAAATAAAGATACAGATGTGTATATGTATGTACACATTGCCTAGCTTTCTCCACAGAGAGTGCTTAGAACATCAGCACCCCAGTAGCAGTGAACATACTTATAGTACCTGGATTGTGGTTTTTATTTTCTTATTTTTTTTTTCCTTTGGCCACATCATGCATCATGTAAGGTCTTAGTTCCCTGAGCAGGGATTGAACCTGTGCTCCTTGCAATGGAAACATGGAATCCTAACCACTGGTCCACCAAGAAATTCCCTAGGTCATGGTTTTTAAATGCCATTGTCCATTAGGAAGAACCAGAGAATGTCCCTGGTGGCCTAGAGGTAAAGAATCCACCTGCCAGTGCAGGGGACATGGGTTCAATCCCTGGTTCAGGACGATACCGCATGCTGCAGAGCAGCTAAGCCCATGTGTTGTGCCATAACTACGGAGCCTGAGTGCTGCAGCTGCCAAAGCCCACGGGCCTAGAGCCTGTGCTCCGCAAGAGAAGCCCGTGCACTCCAAGGAAGAGGAGCCTCCATTAGCCACAACAAGGGAAAGCCCGCATGCAGCATTGAAGACCCAGTGCAGCCAAAAATTAAAAAAAATTTTTTAAAGAATAATCAGGGCTCCTTGGAGAAATGGCTGATTGCAGGGCTGGGATGGAAAATACAAGATTCACCTATAACACCTTGTGCCACAAAGCAAGGAATTATTCAGAGAACATTGGAGACATGAAAAAATACACAGAAGCCAGCTTCACAGGACTTCTCAGACTCCATCAGAAACAGTTTGAACTCTATAACCTACTGAATAAAATAAGAAAGCATGGCTCTATGTTAATAAATTGAAGAAAATTTGAGGAGCAGAATGTCTCTGGAGTTTCAAAGTATTTCCCCACGAAATATTCCTTAGTTACAATGGAGAAAAGACTAAGAGTGAAGAGGCCTGGCAGGTCCCACCTTAATCAAGTGATTATAGTGGACATCATAGGAAATAGAGCAAATTGAAATTATACTCCACCTGAATAGGATGCATTGAGTAGGTCACATCATCATTTCTATAATACTCCTGCCAAAGATGCATAACTGGAATTAATCATGAATAAGCTTCAGATAAATAAATTGAGAGGCAAAATAACTGACCAGTAACCTTTAGTAGTGTCAGGGTCATGAAAGTTAAGGAAATCCTGAACATTTGTTCCAGGCTAAAGGAATAGACAGGAGATGTGACAGCTACTAAATGCAACACACAATTCTAAACTGGATGCTTTTGCTCTAAAAGGCAACTGCCAGTACTTGAATGGGGCCTGAATGAAAATTTAATGTACATTATTATAGTAATAATATGTCAGTTTCCTGATTTTGCGGGTTTTGTATTATGAAGGTAATTGCCCTGTTTATAAAATAACACAAGTATTCTGGGATGATGGGACATTCAGTTGGTAGCTCACTTTCAGTGGGTTCAAAGAAAAAATTCTATACCTGTGCTTCCAGCTTTTCTGTAACTCTTGACTATTTCTAAGTAAAAAATGTTTAGGGCTTCCCTGGTGGCTCCGCAGTAAAGAACCCACCTGCCTATTGAAAAGGCGTGGGTTCAGTCCCTGGGTCAGAAAGACCCTGGAGAAAGGAAATGGCAACCCACTCCAGTATTCTTGTCTGGGAATACCATGCACAGGGGAGCCTGGCGGGCAACAGTCCATGGGGTCGCAAAGACTAGGACTTCGCAACTCAACAACAGCAAGGTTTGTTGCTTATATCAGACCAGTTTTCAAAAAAGAGATGTATCGATTCATAGCAGGACTGGGTAACAGATCTCTTAAAAGAGCTTCCCTACATGTTTGCTCTGTGAAATGGATGGATTTTGAAATGAAATTTCAGTGTAATGTGGTAATTTTGTATCTCCAAGTCATCCTGGAGAGAGCTGAGGTGTATTTGATTTCATAGTTTCTGTGTGTGTGTGTTTTCTCACTGCCCTTTTTCTCTGTGACCTCTGCAGGTAATCCACGACTTCTTATTCTCCTTGAAAGAAAGCCCTGAAAAGTTTCAGATTGAAGCCAATTTTCCCCGAAGGGTGCTGCCCTGCCTCCCTTCAGAGGAGTGGCCCAACCCCCCAACGCTGCAGGAGGCCGGACTCAGCCACACAGAAGTTCTCTTTGTTCAGGACCTAACAGACGAATGACACTTTTTCTTCCTCTTCTCTCCCACCCCAATCCCCAAAAGAAATGGAAAAAAACAAAAACAAAAAAATAAGAGAGATTCATATTATTATTATTATTATAATACAATATTTTTTTTAAAGACTGCTGCATCCTAAGGAAGGATCAGAAACCATGCTGCCTGCAAGAGTCACCACCTGTGTGCGCACGCGAGGTTAGCGATGAACGTTCCGCTGGCAAGCCCACCCTCCCTACTGCCTCTGCACCATACACCTTCCAGTGAGAGGAGACTCTTCACCTCCAACCCAGCCATTCTCCCAACTGGGGAAGGGACATTCCCACTCGATCTCATGCATTCTTGCTTTTATAGAAAATAAAAGTGAAAACCTTCATCAAACAGCTACTGCAGCATCTCCTGAGGACTTGCTTCTCCCACCTCCAGAGAAGAGAGGGAAGAGAAGGCACAGAGCAGAGAGATGTTCCTTCAACTTCCTACGATTTATGAATAATTTTAAATTTTTTTCTGTTGCTTTGTAATGACCAAAGGAATGAGGCTGACATAGGTGTATTTGTTTTCCTTAACATTATTTGATAAAGACCAGTTTTTAAACCCATGAATTCTTGCCCTGGGCTCCTTGGCCCACAAGAGTGTAATAAAGGTGCCCTGGGCTGGTTTGTACTTATTTCTGCCATTGTCCCTCTCACGTTCCCAGAGAGGTTCTTTTTGGTCCAACTCTTGCGGTCCTTTCTTGCCACCTGTGTTCCCCACTTGGGGCAATAGGAGGAAGTCTGGGTTTGTAGCCCTGCAAAGGTTGTGTGTGTACCAATACACCCATATATGTGGTATGAACTCCATGTAGTTTACCTATACATAAGACTGCAGCTTTTCCTTGGAATCTGGATCAGGTGGTCATTATGGGGTCTGAACCAAAGGATGGCAGTTCATTCCTGTTCTGACATGTGCATGTTCTTTCTGCCCAGCCCTGAGCCTTCCTGAATTGCCAAGCTTGGTGCCTTTCCAAAGGACTAACAGGGCCTGTGATGCAACCAACAGAACCATGTGAGAGGACCCTGCCCGTCTCCGTAGGAATGTGGTGGTAGTGGTGGTTTAAGGATTGGAAGAATCATAGGCCTGAAGGAAGCCAAGACAGAACTCAGCCTGTGTAAATTGTCGGAGGGCACATTTCAGTTTTTGATGTAGCCACCTGCTGTGGCTACATTTTGTTCTCTCTCTCTATTGCTGTTGAAGTAGTAGGGGTTTTTAGCCTCTGGATGTCTTGTCTGTGGTTGAGTTTATGGTAGTGGGTACATGGGTCAGGCCGTGTATTAGCAAGAGCTGACAAGTATTCCAAAGTGTTCTGTGGTAGACTGGTGTAGCCAACGCTGCAACCTACTGAGTTACCACAGTTCCTAGCTTGTGGTGAGGCCAGGGGCTCATACCGAGGTCAAGCACAACTTGCTCGATTTGCAGTCCCCAGAGGCTTTCTCCCGCTTAGCTAAAACCTGAGGGCCATCCTTTTAGTTACACTGACATGGCTGCTATTTTCTGCTGCCCACAGTGGTTGGGGTAAACACCAAGGGCCAGTGGGGAGCCCCATAGGTATCGCCTGAGGACCTTGAGAATTTTGCAGTGGCCTTGGCACAAGTGTCTACAACACCCATCTCCAGGAAAATGTAATCCTGCTCCTGGCTTCAGTTATTCTTCCACTTTGTTTCCTGCTATCCCATGACCAGATGAGTGGGAAATCGCTGGCTGTTGTCATAAAATGTTATCTGAAGTGAATACCAGGATAAACTGTATTCGCCACTCCACCTTATGTGAGAAGTCTGCTTCCTGCTGACAAGCACGCAAAGAGGAATTTTTTCAGTTAACTCAGAACCAATCTACCTGCCTAGAATTTGCATTTCCCTGGCAGGACCTTTGCCAGGCTGGGTGTACCAAGTATCTTGCCCACACCTCTGGGAAGTTGTACTTTTTTTTGCTTAATAATTCAATCTGCATCTTATTCTACAATGTGCACTTTATGCCTTTTGCTAACCTGTCCAGTGAAGGAGGTCCAGTGCCAGAGTATTAAAGTCTACTTGTGTCAGTACAACTCTCAGGATGGCCTGTCAATTTGCTTTGTTTTGCTTTTGTCTTTTTTTTTTTTTTTTAGTGCTGCTTTACTCAGAGCAGTTCCTGTCCTCTTGCTGATGTAGACTGCCACTCATCCCACTCGTTTCCTCCATGAAAGATGCACGTTTTGTCAATGCTGGTACAATCTGTATGTTACTCCCAAGGACCTCTGGGAACTTGATGGGGGACCTTCAAGCAAGAAAACAGAAACTGGTGATCCACAAGCATTTGCTCTTATTTCCAAATCGCCTGATTATTTCAGCTGTTTTCAAATGCCAAGTCATCAGCTAAACAAAAACATTTGTTTCCAGTTTTGTTCTGTACTCCCAAGACTGAAGTTGTATATTCAGCTGAATTTCCATAGGAAGTGACCAAGCAAAGATACTCAATTGGAGTCAGTTGAATTTCTGCAGCCTCAAGTTTTTTCTCCACGCCTGTAGAATTTCCACTTCTTTCTCGTTGCTTTCACTATAATGTTTGGATAAAAAATGGCCAATGGAGAATACTTCTTTAAAAAAGAAAAACAAACTATGAACAAGCTAAAAGGAACCTAGAATCTTCAACTGAACAGTCATTATGAAAATTGCAAATGGTGCCAAGGCCAAGGAAAAAGTTACAGAAAATGACTGTGGGAAGGAGTGATAACCCCCAGAACGCAAAGTTAGGGGAGTATTAATTTGGTGCTTGAACAAGGAGCTCCACTTTATAACTGGTTTTGTTTCTTTTTTTTTTTAAGGACTGTCGAGAGACGCAGCAACAAGAAATCCATCCACAAAGGATGCAGTGCCCCAACTTGTACTGCACCTGAATAAGTTACGTGATAATTTACTGAGGAAATCTAGTGTACTTTAAATTTTTTTCATAAAAGTTTACATTGTATTGTAGGTTAACATTAAATGTTTTATAACAAAATTTTCATACCAAGTTGTGGGTCTTTCTCTCTGGGGGAAATGTGGTAGATGTGGTTCTGTCTGGAGGCAAGGTTGGAAAACATCAGGGGAGGGAATATTGCCAAGAAGTAAGAGAGTCAAAAAGAAGCAGGGAGTTAAAATAGACCTATGATGTGTTCTTGTGAAAATGGAAGCTCAGGCAGTGAATAGAAAGCTGGCGGATCTGTGTTCAGATTGTGGTCTGTCATTTGTCAGTCTTGTTAACCTCAGTGTCTCAGGTCCCATGAGCTTTAGTTTTACCCAAATGTAAATAAAGTTAATACCATCTGCCTCAGGATGGGCTTGCAGATGAAATCAAATAAATGGAGGGGGAAAGAAACTATATATATATATATATATATGAAGCATCTGACACAGGTGTTGTCGTTTGTTGCTTTCCTCTGAGGAAGTGTATTTTGAAGGTATATTTTCTGGCATTAATAACAATCAGTTTCTTAAGGAATGTCATTTCTCCTGCCTGCACAGGCCCATGTTCTTGCAAATGAGTGGCTGGAGAAGAGTCACTTTGGATCTAACAGGTTTCTTGACTTTTAGAACTACCCTCCTAGTCTATTTTTGCTCTTATTTTTATTTCTGAGGAAATTTAAGCCTCATTTCTTCACCTCTTTCCTACTATCTGTCCTGGGCAAAGAACTCATCTGTAAGTTTTTGTCACCTGCAGAGTCTGCCCTGTTGCTTACCCAAAGACACATATATGTATTTTTTTAACCCACATCTTAAGTGCAAACTAAAATGTCTTCTCAGTCTACTAAGTCTGCAATAATAGTTTATTCACCTTAGGTCAGAATCCCCTAAAAATGAAAACTTTACAGTTGATTGTTCACAAGATTTGCTTGATTGCTGACATACAGGATTTGTTTATTAATAGTCAAGGAAAATGCAGACTCTGATGCCAGGTATATCTGGTCACAAATCTTGGTTGTGGCTGTGATTTTGGCCAACTAACCTCAACTCCCTAGGCTTCAGTGTCATCTGTAAGATAGATCCAGGTGTAGCATTTCCACGAAGATTCAATAAATTGCTGCTGCGGAGTGCCTGGCACACAGTAAGTGTTGGGTAAAAGCTCCTGTTACTGTTTACCAGTTTGTAGCTGGCCCATTGCTAGCAATTCATCCCAGGCAGATCAAGGAAGGAGAGCAATAGGGGAGAGGTTGAGATTATGCTTATGGGCAGAGTGCCTGACACTTTTTTCTTGACACGTCCATCACTGCTGTTGGGACTCCATGCGTGCTTCCCCCTTGATAGAGCCACAAGCCCTGGGCCCCCCAAGTTCCTTCCTCTTGCCTCTTCTGCCACTTGGATGCACTGTCCTCCAAGGCAAGCTACCAAAGCATGTGCCATGTGCTGGGACTACTATATCCTGTTCCTGGTTGCTGCTGGCCATTCTCCAGATGTTGGCAACTGATACTTTTTCCACCAGCAATGTGGGTGACTCAGCACCTGCATATGTGGATTCCCTAAAATTCCAGCTCCACTTGTGTGGAGGATAGTATTCAATTTGTGTGGCAGTGTAGTATTGTGGGAAGCAGCTTTGGAGTCAAATCTGGATTTGAAACTGCTTCCTGCTGGCAAGTTTCCTCATACATAAACCTCACAGCAGGATCCTTGCAAAGTCCAGGTGCCATTTTGCAGGGTCTTAGTTCGCGAACCATCCCAGCCCCTGGCAATGAAAACGCCGAGTCCTCGCCACTGTACTGCCAGTGCAGTGCCCCCAGATGCCATTTGAAGGGACTGGTATCTGGGGTGCTTGGCACTGGGAACACGGATATGGAGCTGAGCGGTTGCTTTCCCCCTCCTCTGCCAGCGGTCCTGGGTTCGAGTGTGGCCTTCACTCAGAACTGCCTCACCCTCAGGACTTAGGAGCTGACCCTTCTCACCGTAGCCGTTACTATTCCAACTGCACTGCCCTACTCTGCCCTCAAAGCTTTTCTGTCCCCTTCTTGCTTCAGTGTCCCTATTGGAATATGTTGGCTTCACATCTCTCCTCACTACAACCCAGTAGTGACTGTCACAATTCCCAAAGTTAACTCAGCTGTTTGATTTCCCTCCTCTTGCTCCTTCAGCTGCAGAATCCTAGCATGTATCACAGTGAGTTGAGGAGCCCTAGGGGTTGGTGCCCCCTCCTTTGATTCAGCTCAGGGAAATTCACGTATTTGTACCCCCACTGGCACTGCATCACTGTGTCCCCTTTCTCAAATCCAAGCCCACATGCATCCTACTCACTCTTAAGCCTACTGCAACATCTTGCTTCCTGAGAAAATGAGGTCTTGTCACAGAACTTCCTCATCTCTTTTCACCTCAAAATTGTTCTGTTTTGTCACCTGCTTCCTGTTTCTCTTCTGTCTTGTGGGTGTACTTTTTCTCAAAAGAGATATAATTAACACAGTAAAATGTCCAGCTCATAAATCCACAGCTTGATACAGTTTTACCCAAGTGTACTCCAAAACCAAGGTGCAGAACACCTCCTCGCCCCCAGAAAGTCCCCGTGTGTGTCTCCTTAGTCAGTGGCCTCCAGAGGCAACTATTCTGACTTTTTTCACCATAGAAGTTTTGCCTGTTCTTAAACTTTGTATAAATGGATTCACTTTATGTGTGTATGGGCTTCCCAGGTGGTTCAGTGGTAAAGAACCCACCTGAAAATACAGGAGATGCAGGAGACATGGGTTTGATCCCCAGGTTGGGAAGATCCCCTGGAAGAGGAAATGGCAATCCACTCCAGTATTCCTTCTGGGAAAATCCCATGGACAGAGGAGCCTGGCGAGCTATAGTCCTTGGAATCGCAAGAGTCGGCCTCGACTGAGCATGCATGCATGTACGATTGTATAATTTTATAAGTTGTTTTCATGATGGGAATTTAAGGAAGTTCAAAGAAGCAAAAAAAAAAAATTATTATAACCACACTGTCCAGAGATGTCCATTGTTAATATTGTGATGTGTATCTTCCCAGACTTTTCACTGCATATAAAAGCATTTTTAATACAGAAATGGGGTGATATTATAAATATTGAATTATCTCTATTTCACACATTCTTCTATATCTTTTTTAATGGCTATGCAGCATTTCCCTGAATAGATGTACCACATATTGATCAAAAGCCTCTTATGACATTTAGGTTGTTAAACTTTTTGTTTCCTTTTCTAGATAATAAATTGATGAACATCCCTATAGCTAAATATGCATGTCCATGTTTATTTTCTCAGGAAAAAAAATTCTAGTAGTGAAATTACTGAGTCAAAAAGGAATGGAAATTTTTACTTTTTAAAATGTTTGTTATCTCTAAATTGTAGTCCAGAAAAGTTACTTTATACTCTTGTCAGACGCCATCTGTGTTATGATCACCAGATCTTTATCGAAAACTATTCCCTTTTCAATTGCTTGGATTGCTTTATCTTCTACCACAAACTGTTTGGCATCTCCTCCCTTACGAAATCTTAACCTTGCTTTACCCATAAATCACCGCCCTGTCTCCTTCCCTTCCAAGATAGTTTGCACAACCAGTCCCCCTTCTTTGTTAACCTCCTGTTAATTATACTTTCATCTCCACTTACCATCTCTTATAGTCACCCATGACCTCTTTTTAAAACTTTATTTAATTTGGCCGTGCCGGTCTTAGTTGTGGCATGTGGAATCTAGGTCCCTGACCAGGAATCAAATGTAGGCTCCCTGCATTGAGAGCCCAGAGTCTTAGCCACTGGACCACAGGGAAGTGCCCCCATGACCTCTTAGTTACCATTTTCATTGGCCTCTGTAAGACCTTTTGGAATGTAGAAGTCGCCCAGTTGATATTTGACACAGTAATTGTTGCCTTGTTTCCATTCCCACAGGTTGGGTGTCAGAATATGTGAAGAGGTTAAAGAATTCACACTTTATCCTGAAAGCCGTTGAGAGCTTTAAACAAGGGAGGCAGGTTGGACTAGGGTTTTAGAAAGCTGACTTTCTCACTATGGGGAGAGTGGATGGGAGAGGGCAAGGTAAGAAGTGACACGATGGAGTTACGTATCAGGAGCGGCCTAGGGATGGTGAGAACCGAAGAATTGATGCGTTTGAACTGTGATATTGGAGAAGACTCTTGAGAGTCCCTTGGACTGCAAGGAGATAAACCAGTTAATCCTAAAAGAAATCAGTCCTGAATATTTGTTGGAAGGACTGATGATGAAGCTGAAACTCCAATACTTTGGCCACCTCATTCGAAGAAGTGACTCATTGGAAAAGACCCTGATGCTGGGAAAGATTGAAGGCAGGAGGCAAAGGGGACGAGGGGACAACAGAGGATTAGATGGTTGGATGGCATCACCGACTCTATGGGCATGAGTTTGACAAGCTCCAGGAGTTGGTGATGGACAGGGAGGCTTGGCGTGCTGCAGTCCATGGAGTCACAAAGAGTCGGACACGACTGAGCGACTGAACTGAAAAGGGATGGAGAAAGGCTAATGATGGACTGAGCACTATTTAGGAGAAACAGTGGCCAAGACTAGGAGGTTGATTAAATATGGAGGGTCAAGGAGAGTGAAAAATTGAGAATGTGCTTATGTGTGCTTAGTCACTCAGACATATCCAACTCTTTGCGACCCCATGGACTCTAGCCTGACAGGTTCCTCTGTCCATGGGGATTCTCCAGGCAAGAATACTGGAGTGGGTTGCCATGCCTTCCTCCAGGGGATCTTCCCAACCCAGGGACTGAACCCAGGTCTCTCATATTGCAGGCGGATTCTTTACCATTTGAGCCACCAGGGAAGCCCATGAATACTGGAGTGGGTAGCCTTTCCCTTCTCCAGGGGATCTTCCCTACCCAGGAATCAAAAACAGGATCTCCTGCATTGCAGGCGGATTCTTTACCAGCTGAGCTACAGGTTTCCAAAAACTAAATTTAGGAACAAAGGTGCTATTTCAATGGGGGGAGATAGTGTCAGAGACAGAAGTAATGCGTAAGAGGTGAAGTGGGAAGATCAAATGTAGGCAGCTGTAACAATTTGTCAGTGAAAAGTATGGGGGGAAATAGGAACCAGGACTGAGGAAGGGTTATTTAAAGTAGGAGAGACTTTGTTATGTTTAAATGCTAAAAGCAGAGATTTTAGAGAAAGAGGTTGAAAATGCACAGAGGAGGGACAATAGAGAAAGATGCCACCGGAGTGGGGGAGGCATTGGCCTTCGGAGGAAGGATGGGAGCAAAAGTCAGTGCATTCTGACTTCTAGAATGTTGGTTTGAAGACAAGTTACGGGTGTCCCCATGTGATGATGTCTGTTCACTCTGTCAGGTTGGGGAGAGTGATGAAAGTGATGGGGCCAGAGATCTAATTAGACTGAGAGATTTGAAAAGTCTGTTTTAGAGAGCAAGACAGAGTGTAGGAAGACTTAGAAGCCTGTCTCAGCAAACTGAGGGCCCAGGCGAAGTTAAGACCAGAATACACTGTGGTAGTAGGCATGAAACTTACTAGTCTACCTCCCTCACTGCTGCCAAGTGGTTTCTGAAAACAGAGTTCATGTGGGAATATCCAGAGACTTTCAGCTCCCCAGCCTAGAAGTCGGGGCCTCAACTCTGGGGCCCTGGTGGAACTTCATAATTTCATTTTTCTCTATTCCTCCATACGATCACACTTAAGTAACACACACAGATCTCTTGACTATTTCCACACCAGGCATTTGCCTGCCTAAAGTCAGGCCAAGACAACTTACATAGGATAGAAAAGTTTTCAACGACATGCTGTCAATTTTTCGAACTCCTCTGATTGTCAAGAAGGCAAGTACCTAGACTACATGATTCTAGTCTTCCAGAATTATACTGATATGACTCTTGTGTAACTCTGGCTTCATTATCACCCAGGTCCTGGCAGGAGAGTAGATGAAAGTCATATTTGGCCTAGTATGCCATTTTAGACACACAGTACTGCACACGCCTGAGTTTGCTCATGTAGTTCTTACCTTCTGGTGTCTATCTCTAAAGAGATCTGTAGTTAAAAAGTAGTTAGTCACTTCAGTTGTGTCTGACTCTTTGCCACCTTATGGACCTGTAGCGTGCCAGGCTCCTCTGTCCATGGGATTCTTCAGGCAAGAATAATGGAGTGGCTTTCCATGTCCTCCTCCAGGGGGTCTTCCCAACCCAGGGATCAAACCTGGGTCTCCCATGTCACAGGCAGATTCTTTACCATCTGAGCCACCAGGAAGCCCTTTAAAGAGGTCTGTAGTTAGCGAACAACTACAAGAAACACACTGTAGCTAATTTAAGGAAAAAACATGTGTTGAAAGACTAGAGGTAGGTCCCAGAATGGAAAGCTAGACCTCAGAAAGGGTGGGATCCAAGTCTCAGAAAGGGTGGAGTGCAATTGTGGGATGGGGGTTGTCGCAGGTAGAAGGCACATTCAGATGTCAAGCCTCTCACCTTTGGAGCATAACGCAAGCAGATTGGGGTTTTTGTTTTTAGTTGTGCCCCATACAGCAGAGGCAGAGCCATTTCTTTTAAAATGGTGCAGAAAAATGTAAAGAAAATAACCATCGTTCACATTCCTACCACTCAAAATAATTAACACTGCTATTTTGGCATATCTGCTTCAGGTTTTTTTTCTTTCCTGCTTATACTTTGGTTAGAATCACCTAAAATGTTTATATATTTACTGCAAAGAAATCCTTTTATCCTCAACAGATGTGGCTGGTTTCTGGCTGATCTGGGTCCTGGCACCAGCCCCTCCGGTGATCTGCTGCGGCCTTGAATCTGACCAGCCGGCCGTGAGCCTCTGCCGTTCAGATGGCTTTCCCAGTCTGCACTTCTCAGAAACTTCATCTGTGCTCAGAATAACGCTGGAGGATGATGGTGTGTCCCAGCTCATCAGTGGAGGCCAGGGAGTGGACATCATCATACAAAAACTAATGTGAGAGAGAAGAGTTAATTTCACTGTGGCTGGGACCATAAAAGGAGAGGGCAGGGCCTGTATAAAATCATCTGGGCCCTGGGGCTGGGGTCAACGTCCCATGTGTTTTTCCTAACAGCCGCTCACTCATGTATTCACTCATTCAGTCATCCACTCAGAAACCCTCACCAATGCCTACTGTGTCTTTGCCCTTTCGTTAGGGTCCGGGAATGTGGCAAATATGACGGCCCTTGGTCTGGTGAAGCCATGTCATGGGGCAACCAGCAGGACTCCTAACAGGTGAGACAGTCGCGTGGTGTGCAGGGGAAACCAGAGTAGAGTGGGGCTGCTCTGGTTGAGGGAGGGGTCTGAGGAGGGGACATTCAGGCTGGGCTTTGGGAAGGGAGCATGGTACCAGCAGGAAAGAATTTAAAGCCCCCGAGGCATCTTAGTGTGATTCAGGGGCCAAGGGGGCAGGGGGCACAGGGCAGCGCCTCTATCCAAGCCTCAGTCAGCCCCCAGTTGCCCCAGGGAGGAAGGTATAAACAGTTTCACAGTCAAGAACATAGAAGAAGGATCGTGAGAGAAAAACGACAGTGTGGTGGGTGCTCACTGAGTGCGACTGGTCTTCCAAGCAGAGAGAACAGCACAGCAGCAGGGGGTGAAAACAGGGCATGTTGGCAAAGAAACATAAACAAAACTCCTCCTGCGGCTGCCAGCCCCCAAAGGCCCCCTCCTAGGGACAGAAACCTCCCACTCCCAGTTCATCCAGGAAGTTTTTGGTGGCGGTGGGAGAGGCTCCGCCTGGAGTCTGGAAGAAGGGGAAGAAGAGACCAAAGAGGCCACCGTTTGGGCTTTTCAGAAGTGTATTCTCTGACTTGGGAGAATTTACAAGTGGAGACTACAAGGCTATCTTGATTCTCCCATTTTCTCCCCGGGCCTAGCCCCGGTCCTCTCTGAGCTTCAGGTCCTCCAAATAAAAGCCAAAGATGATAAATACCTCAACTCAGGGTGTGGAAGAACAAATGAAACACTGGGAGCTGGCCCCTGCCTCCTCTCCAACTTCATCCTGCCCAAATTCATCCCAGCCTCTGGGCCTTTGCACATTCTGTTCCTTCCCTCCAGAATGCTCTTCTCCTGACTAGCTCCTTCTCAACACTCAGGTCTCATTAATCTCAATATTGGTTGCCTCTCCTGAAAGTCCTATATAGAGGTGCCCATTCTCTTTCATGGCCCTTGTTGTATTTGGAACAGTGGGGTTTTTTTTCCCTTTGTTTGTTTTATTGTCTGTCTCTCCTGGAATGCCTGTTTTCTGGTGACAGGAACTTAAGTTTCATTCACTGGAGCCTCCCCAAGGCCTAGAACAGCGTTTGGCTTGGGGCAGTGGTATTCAGCCAGTTTTGCTGAATGACAACCCAAGAACCCTACCAGGCCTTGAGGACTCAGAGGCAACTGAACTGCCTTTATAGAGTGTCTAGACTGTTACACCCTGTGCCCAGAGAAGAGCCCTGAAGGTTCTACATGTCAGCATACAGGCTGAGCTCAAAGGACACTGAGCCCCAACATGGTGAGAAAACATCCAGTCCTGGGGAGATCCACCTTCCTCCTTCCAAGGACACCTTGTAGTATGTGACCCTTGAAAGGATGCTGCCAATTATACCAACTGTTAGTAAAATAACTGCCGATTCATTCATTCCCCAAATGGCCACCACCATGGGCCAGGCATTGTTGTAGTTGGTGGCAGGCAGAGCTTTTAATAGAAAGGAGGTAACCAGAATGACCACACCTTAAGTGACAGAATTGCAGCCCAAGGTTAATATAATTTCACTCTAATTCATAATGTCAAATCTTTATCCAATTTCCCTTTTTTTTAACTTTGCAAAAAATATACATTTATAGGAAGTTGCAAAAACATTACAAAAAGGTTTTACCTACATTTACTTTCCCTCAACAATAACATCTTGTATAAAACCAGAAAATTGATGTTGGTACCATCCACAGTGATTTTGGCGTATGGGTATCAAATTACTCCAGGAGTATTTGTTGAAAAAAATTATTCATTGAATGTTCAAAAATCAGTTGGTTGTATGCTTGCAGGTCTATTTCTACATTCTTTTTTTCTGTCCTGTGGATCTATTTGGCTATCCCTCTCCTGATAAAATGTCTTGATTAATGTGTCTCTACAGGGAAGTCTTACAATCAGGAAGAGTGGTTCTTCTCATTTTATTCTTTTTAAAAATTGCCTTAGCTACTCTGGTTTCTTGACTTTTTCATGTAGAATTTAAAGTAAGCATGTCAGTATGTCAGGAAAAAAAGCTTTGCTGGACTTTAATGGGAATTGAATTAAACTCAGAGATCAATTTGGGAGAAAGTGACAATTCACTATGCTGAGTCTTCCAATCCAAGAATACAACAGTTTTCTCTATTTATGTAGGCCTTGCCTTGTTTCATCAATGTTTAGTAGTTTTCAACATACAAGTCTTATGTCTTGTTGGATTTATACATTTCATTTTTCTCTCAAGTGATTATAAATAATATTATCAGGTTTTTATTCTTGAGTTCCCCGTGTTCACTGCTAGTATATTGAAAGACAATTACTTTTTGTTTACTTATCTCATAGCCTGACAAACCTGACAAACTCATTTAGTTCTAGGTATTTGTAGATTCTTTGGAATTTTCTACATAGATCTTCATCATATCATCTACAAATAGTGTTAGTTTTATTTCTTCCATTTCTGCATTCCTGATTTCATTTCCTTTTTCTTGCCTTGTTGTGCTGGCTCAGACTTCCAGTATGATGTTGAATAGAAGTGATGAAAGCAGATATCCTTGCCTGTCCTGATCTCAGGATTGGTAAGCAAGTTGTCTTTCACATCATAAACAGTGATGTTAGCTATAGGTTTTGTATAGATGACCTTGTCAAGTTTTATTATTTAGAACGAATGTTGAATTTTGTCCAAAAAAATTTTTTTTGCATCAATTGTTATTATCTGTGGTTTTTTGTTTCCTACAGGCTTTTGAAATACTGAACAAGAGGTTAGAGACTTCCCCATCTGACAATTTGCTCAGACTGGGAACTCAGCTTCTACCACTGGTCTAGTTCTCCATGCCCCAGTGTGCTCAAGAATGCAACCTGGACCTGCATGTGGCTAAAGAAGCCCAACATAGGAAATGCTGCCCAGAGTGTGTCCACTGCTATAGATTTACAACGGCACAGACAAAGCGCAGAGAAGCCCTGTGATATAAGCTGATTCTCAACATGGAATTTCCCAAACTTATCACACAGCAATTTTTTGCACAAACCCTATTATGTTTCATAGGACTTTCTCTGAAACACTTAGGGAACCACTCAACTGAGTCTGTCCCCTAATTTGCAAACTATTCAAAGGCTGAAAGACAAGTGCCCTGACCAAGGTCACAGATGGTGACATCACAGACGCAGCAGATTTCCTGTCCCCAGCTGGCTGCTCCTGCTCCCAACCATGCTGCTCTGACACACGAACAAGTCAGTAGGCAGCCCTGCAATACCACACACCGTCATGGAGAGGAGGAACGTTCCACCTCACCAGTCTGGTCCCTTTGGTGGCTCTCAGGCCCTTCATCCCCAATAAGCTTGAGGATGAGCAGCTTAATTATTGTAGGTTCGGTGGGACCCATGGGTGGGGATGTATGTAACGCAGCTGGGCCAGTCATGCTGTTCTAGCTCCTTAACGGTAGCACAGGGTCCAGGAGTACATGTACAACCTGCTGGTCTAACATGACTCCAGACCAGGAATTATTAGAATTACTAATAATTCTAATTAGAGAGAATAAAAAAAAGGTTTTGCATGGAGATGATGCTAAATTAGGAGGCACTGAGCTAGAGCAAACTTCAGAGTCTAGAGAAAACTTTTGAGAGTCCCTTGGACTGCAAGATCAAACCAGCCAATCCTAAAGGAAATCAGTCCTCAATATTCATTGCAAGGACTGATGCTGAAGCTGAAACTCCAATACTTTGGCCACCTGATGGGAAGAACTCACACATCTGAAAAGACCCTGATGCTGGGAAAGGCTGAAGGCAGGAGGAGAAGGGGACAAGAGGATGAGATGGTTAGATACCATCACTGACTTGATGGACATGAGTCTGAGTAAGCTCCGGGAGTTGGTGATGGACAGGGAAGTCTGGCGTGCTGCGGTCCATGGGGTCGCAAAGAGTTGGATGCAACTGAACTAAACTAAGCTAGAGCTACCAGGAAGCACCATGCAGAACAAAGTTGTAACATGAAGTGAGACCTTGGTTCCTTACGACGAGACTGAGCCAGATCTAGTCAGGCTGAAGCAAAACCTACCTCCAGAATGTAAATGACAAGACTAGTAAGTGCCCTCTTCCTCAAACCGGGGAGATGGAGTCTTGTCAGTTGCCAACAGAATCCTACCTAGTTTGCCTGTGAAGCAGATTGGCTCAGAGTAAGTTATCACTCAACTGGATCTGCAGACCCCTCTCCATCAAGAGGTCATTTCCCCTAAGGTTCCAAAGCAAAGAACAACCTTTTCTGCCCCTCTCATCCCGGGCCCCTACCCACTCTCAGACTGATGCCCCCCTGCCCTACTTCACATTAAAACAGTAAGAACACAGGCAGCCAAGAGCAGCTTGGGCAATACTTGATATACATCATACATTTATTAGTGAATATCCCTCTGAAATCAGCAACAATATTAAAAAAAATAATGATTGCACTACTTGGTCAAGCAGAACTAGCAACTTTCATTTTAAAAAAAGTACAAATCTGTTAAAAATTTCAATCGGTATACACATATATAATACAACATACTAGTTATGTTAAATGCTACAAACCAATGTGAATCCAATGGAATGGAAAAAACCACACATTTAAGCTTTAAGAACCATTTTTTTTCTCTATATATTAGCATTTTCTCAAATACATACATGGGAAAAATGAGGTAACTGTAAAATGTGCAAGGAACAGGGCCCCCCCAAATTACATGTTTATATATATATATGTAATTATATATATATATATAAAAGACCTTTCTAACACACAACACAGGTGCTGGGCCCAGCCAGGGCTGGGGGATGGAGCCCACTGTCATGCCTAGGCCAGAAGTTGGTAAATAAAACAGTAAACAATGACAAGCCCCCACCACAGGAAATCATTGGTAACATGGCATCTATAGCAAGGTCGGCAAATCACAAACATCCTAAATAATTGTCTTATAAATCTTTTTTTTTAAGTGATTTTTTTTTTAATGTTTCCCCCCCAATAGCTGCTCGCTGGAATCACTGCTGCAGCCGACACACAATCCGTGAGCCTGTTTCCGCCTGCCCCAGGAACTGGAAAGGGTTCTGAAAACCTTTTTTGGGGGTGGGGAAGGGAGGGGGGTTGGAGAGGGTGGTTCTCTGTGTAAAACGTGGGGTTTTCAACACTGCTATAAATATAGAAATGTCACCTGGAGTTATATACAGTAAGACTTTGGGTTCTCCACGGGGTGGGGCCAGGCTGATGGGGCCCCATGGCAGGCTGGGGGTGGCGGGAAGCCAGGGCCGCTGCTGGAGAACGAGGGTGGTTGGAGCATCCCTGAGGCAGCAGGCGCCAGGGGCTGCCTGCTAGGATGTGCCGGCCCCACACGCGGTTCGTTCAGGGCAGCAACCCCAGCTGGGGGTGAGGAAGGGAAGGAATGGGACCACAAGGGCAAGGATGGGGAACTCAGCCAGACCCTATGGGGGCTCCTCCAGACCTTGGAGGGCAGGGCTCAAGCTGGGAGGTGGCCCCTGGAGGTGGGTCCACACCCTCCCTGGACCCAGGTCCTCCCAGACTTCCTTGGAGGAGACACGCCCGGGCAGATGGGAGACAGGTCCTGGCTAGAAAGGGAGAAATGCCCTGAAAAGCGTACGGTCCCGGTAGGCTCTGGGGACGTGTGCAGTACAGTGCATGGCAGTTATCAGCTGAGCACAGACCCCCCAACCCCACCCACGACCGCCAGCCACCCGGCCCAGCCCCAGCCGCGCACATGCATGTAGACCAGGCGGTACAGCGCGGACCATTCCCTGCCCCCTGGGCACTTGGTCCTGGTTGGTCCCTATACCCCCCCATTAAACCAAAAGAAAAGAGATTGTTTAAAAATCCACACCCTCAGATCCTACACGCGATTTGGGGCCAAATGATCAACAAAAACTGCTGTTCCTCACGTTCATGCAAAACGACAGAAAGGGGAGATCGGGCACGGGTCTGGGCACCGTCACTGCCAGGGAGGGCAGCCACCCGCAACACAGGCGGTCGCTCTCCCTGGCCTGGCCCAGGCCCTCTCAGAGGGCCCATCTGCCGCAGCCCAGAGCCCGCCTCCCGCCTGCTTGGGAGGCTGGCTCTGATGCTCCCCAGCCTGGGCTTGTGGCCGAAATGTCGTGCCTGGGCTGAGGGCCCTCTAGGGAGCCAGCCCCACCCTCACAGCAGCCTGGCTGCCTGAGTCAGCCTGGGGTCAAAGTGGAAGGACCCACTTGGGCTTCCTGCCACCATCTGTCCACGCCTGTCTGTGCCACCTGCACAGAGGGCATGCCACTGCAGGGCAAGAGACCAGGCGACCCGGACAGCTCCCCCTTTGCCCATCCTGGGGCCAACGACCCCCACCGGCAACACAAGGGGAATGGACCCTGGCTCCCAGTGCTGGCAGGAAAAGGAGACAGACCCGAGGGCAAACAGGAGAGAGGCTGAGTTACGGACGCTCAGGCTGCTCCCTGGTGGGCAGATGGGGAAGGAGTCTTTGGAGCTTGGCAAATGCAGGGGCTTATTGCAGGGGCTTCTCTCGGGCTGACCCTGACACCAGCTCTGGAGAGACAGGCAGGAACGGCAGGGCAGGCCGGGACCACGCCCTCCCTGGGCACCCCCCGAGTTTCCAGAGCTTTGGGCAGGGTTCTCCGGGGCGGCTGTGGGGCCTCACTCAGCCTCCCTGGGCACCTCGGAAGCGTCGGCCCGGCAAATGGGACACGTCCGGTTGGCCTGGGGGGAAGCAGCCGTATGTCAAGACTCCATACCTGCCCAACCCCCATCCCATCTGAGGCTCTTCTGCTGCCTGGTGGGAACCTGGCTCCCTGCGTGGAACCAAAAACTTCTGGATGCCAAAGAGGACGCAGAGGGAAGCCCTCCAGTCCCCCTCCTCCCTCCCCACACCTGGGAGCCAGCATGGGAACCTTACCTTCAACCACTTGTCGACACACTTGGTGTGGAACTCATGGTTGCAGGGGAGGACCCGGAGCAGCTGCCGCGCCTCAAAATCACTGAAGCAGACGACACACCTGGGAGGAGGAGTTACAGAGCATCACCCCCACCCTGATGGCAAAGGCAGACTCAGGGCAGGGCACAAAGCCCCTCCCCCGGAAATCAGAACCCTATCTGTGCTCTCAGAGAAGCTGGGGGTGGCGGGGGGTGTAAGAGGTGGCCAGGGCACTCACAGCGTCTGCTCCGACTGGTGACTGTCCGGGTGAAAGCGGTATGATGGAAGCTGCTCGATGTCCGCTTTGGTGAGGCCACGGGGTTTGGCATCTCCCAGCCGCTCGGCCAGATTCAGGAGAGCCTGGACGCGGGCAGGAGGGGAGAGTCAGCGGCGGCCAGGGCTGGAGGTCCCCCAGGCCCCCATTTCCCAGGACCGGGCTCCACGGGACCTCATAGTTCTCCATCTCGACATCATCCACATCAAGATCCAGGCTGATGGTGGGCCCCATTGCTGTTGGTGACATCGGCAGCATCGAGCTAGTGAGAGACAAGCACGTGGGCCCAGGGTCAAGGGCAGCAGGCATAGAGAGCATTGAGGGGGGGGTCCCCTGATTCCCGCCATGAAACCAAGCCCAGAACTCTGCACTGTTCACATCAGGGACCCCATTGGGGAGCGTGAGTGTGCAGGTCTGGTCTAGTGGGGGTGCTGGGGCTCAAGCAGCCCTGGGACCTCTGTGGGACCCTGTTTGGGTCTAACCACTAAAGGCCCCAGGAGAATAGCCCCACAGCTCTGGAGCAGCTGTGCAGGTACTTACAGGAAGTAGGGCAGGAAGCTGGGGTAGTACGGTGGTGGGGGAGGCGGTGGG